ACCACCTTAAAATTAGTAAAATTGCCAAATATGAAAGTGGTACGTCTTAAGCGAGCGAAGATAGAACTCTGCAAAGTTAAGAAAATTAGCAGACGTTTGTATGGTGAGGGGCAAGATTGTGCCCCCACCAACATCTGTAAAATTTCGCAACTTTAAGGAGCTATACCTTTGTTAGTTTTCAACAAATTACTTTTAAACTTAGTAATTATACTAATATTATATTTTAAGACACTCTTTCCGGTGATGTCAACAGAATTTCCCTAACATGTGCATGTCAAAAGTTGAAAAAAACCTTGAGAAAGGTCTATTGCCTAATGGAGGGCTAATGAGGCAACCTGTTGGGCCAGCATGTTTTAATCAAAAGTTGCCAAATGGGCAATCAACATTTTCCAAGATAACATGAATGACAGTAACCTTCAGCAACAACTTGCTCAAACAGCAAAAGATTTTTTTAAAGTTTTCATCTTGCCCTGTTCATATCCAGCTAATTGAGGACAAGAGCTTGGAATTGGCAGGGTAGCTTCTGCAGAAACGCTCAGAAGATAAATAATCATAATCATAACAATAGCAATAACTATGCTAATAATATGACCAATAATATCTACCTCAACTGTAACAGAATACAAGTGGCAAATTCACATTAATTGGGTTACAAGAAAGCCTACTGGGCCATGTGTCAGACCAAAATGGATTACAATATACTAGTGAAGATTGGCATGAATATGCAGCTGAGAAAACATCACTGTGGCCGGTCACTTACAGAGGGCAAACAAATCAATGGTAGGTGCTCATTTAAAGCTGGTTTTCACTAGTAATGGAGTCAGAGTCTAAGTCATAATCAGAAGCATAGGATTTAACCCCAGGAGGGGTACTCCCTTATATAAGCCATATAAGTATCTGCCACCCTAGCCTGAATTTCATCTGATTGCTTCGAGTCGTTTTCTCCTCTCAGCAATGTCTGAATCTACCAGCCTTTAATGCTGTCCAGTGACGTCACTACTACCCAAAAACTGGGTAGTGATTTTGATTGGTTGATTGTCTAAACATTCAAATAATTATGTACCATTATGACAAATTTTAGCAGGATTGTCGCTTGATATTCAGCGGATCGCATCAGTGGCATGCTTGTGGAGTTCAAACATTTCGATAATCTTTATCATAAATAGCAAAATTGCCCTTGTCTTCGAAACTAAATTGCTAAATTGAACTGTGAATGAAGAATCATTGTGGTTTTTCATTTAGAGCTGCTTTGTGGTTTCCGCAGTGACTTTGTTTAAGCGAGGTTTCTGAGACCAATGTCAAGTTATTATTCAACCTTCTTGCCTAATAATTTCTACCATCAAGTGTAATGATTCTGTTAGCTTTTCTTTCTTGTTTCCTTGTTTTCTTTTCTCTTTGTTAAGGACCAATTCTTTTTAATTAAAGGAAATTGTTGTGTTTTTGAACAAAGTGTTCCGTGTGTGTATTTATTTCATTGCATGATTGCGCTGAGTTTGAATTACAGCTGGTTCAGAGTACTGCATGCAGTTGATAGTTTAAACATTAAATATGAATTACGATCCAAAAGAGTAAAGAAATTCTGTCAGCTGTTTTGTATTATGTAGACATTTCAAAACAATATTTCTTGGTTTGCCACTTGAAAATCGTGTTAGTTTTTGCATGAATTAACGTAAAGGAGAAGTGACGTCACTGGACGGCATTAACCGCCGGTCGATTCAGATGTTACTGAGGGAGTAATAATGACTTGAAGTAATCACACAACATTCAGGCAAGTGCCACCCCAAGGGGTAGGGGTTTGCACTGTTTTGATCTGAAAATGGATATAGACCTTTCCCATTTTGTTTTGGAATTGGGTATCACTTTCGAGGAAATACAGGAGTATTTCTTGTTTCAATTCCAGATGAGTATGAAAGAAAGAAAAAATGCCAATTTGAAATGAATTTTAAGAAATCTTTTTTGTTGCTGTTCTAATCCAAGTAATAATGAGATAATGTTTTAGGCAAGGTCTGAAAACGGGTGTGAAAAAAGACATTTTTTGGTCTGAAATAGGGACTTGGAGAACCAGGTGGTACATCCCCACCCAGAATTCCAAGGAGTACCCCCTCCCCCGGGACTTAACGATCTAGGGAAAACAGCATTCTGATTCCATCTCAAATTTTGATGGAGTCAGAGTCTGAGTCATAATCAGAAGCGTAGGACGTGACAATCTAGTAAAAAAATTGTTCTGATTTGGTCTCAAATTTTGCTTGCATGGGACCATTGCTTTCTTGTCTTGATGATTTTTGACCAGCCTGAACCCTCACCCCCTAGGGGGGAGGGCAGAGGGAGGTGGGGGAATGCTCTAGAAGTAGGCTAATGGGGATGTGTTGCTGGATTGGGTCACATTTTCACGACTGACTTGACTACAATGGGGATGAATTTTCAGTAGAGTCAACAGAATGGGGTAGCACATTTTCGGGAAGATTTTTACTACATTAAGTTTAACAATGTGCAGGAGCCCATAACCCACAGCGAGCAACTTCCATGATGCATTCGTGTCACAACATTGTCACGGACCAGTTTATTTTTAGAACAGTTTTGGCATGAATTTTGAATATCTTTTGTATTTTACAAACCATATATTTCACAAACCATGATATTTTTTGCCTTTTAATAACCTTTACTTTTCCTTTTTGATATGTTATACTTTGAATGCACTCATAGACATGGTGGAGATAACTATTTTCGTGGGAAAAAGTGCCCTAAAATGTGTCTAAAAATAAACTGGTCCATGAATATGCCGTGGCATAGGCCTAGTATGGGAGACGTGCACTCCGGGTTATTGGCTCCTACAATGTGTCAGTTCATTACAGGATGACCAAATTGAAAGGTTTTTTGGTTTATAAGATCTATGCATAAACAGAAGTGGCTGAGTAGGGATGAGTAGTGGAGATTCTATTTTCGTGGGAAAAAGTGCCTTAAAATGTGTCTAAAAATAAACTGGTCCATAAAACGCCATGACATAGGCCTAGTATGGGAGTTACTCACTCCAGCTTATGGGCTCCTACAATGTGTCAATTCATTACAGGATGACCTAGTTAAAAGGGCTTTTAGTTTATAAGATAGATGCATAAACAGAAGTGGCTGAGTACGGATTGCCAAAATTACATTTTTTCAGAGTGACTAAGATGGGGTGTATTGGCCACAGAATGGGCTGTAATAAGGTAGGGGTTCTGAGAGGCTAGCGGGAAATACTCACCTGAAATTAACCCAAGTAACTGCCCCAGGACCCTTGCCCATTAGTAAGTGAGCTTAAAAAGTTACCGTAAAATTCCGAAAATAAGCCCCGGGGGTTATATTTTTCAAAGGCCCTTTTTGAGGGGCTTGTTTCTGGAGGGGCTTATTTATGGAGGGAAATATGCGTTTCAAAATTGATTGGGCTAGCCTTATAGTTGGAAGGAAATTTACCGTTTTTGCTTTGTTTTACTTTGTATTTGAGGGCAATTTCCAAGTACAAGCCCCTGGGGGCTTACATTTGAAGGGGCAATATAACAGAGGGTTTTTTGCATTACAAATTTGGGTGGCTTATATTTGGAGGGGTTTATTTTCAGAATTTTACGGTACTTTCCTAGCAAGAAAATCGACTCCCTAACTTGTCCTGAATGAGCTGATGGCACTTTTGTACAAAATTACCCTGCATTAATTGCAGTTTTGTTGGTGGTGGGGGGGGGGGTGGGGGCAACGGTGAGTGATAAAAATGAAAAAATGAGAGGAGAATAAGGTGGAAACAACTATCAATGCCTCCTTTTACAGCATCCCTGATCATTTGGGTGATCAGCAGACAAGACTTACAGCTACACAGGCTAGTACAAAATGTTTACAAGTATAGATTTACCCAAACAGGGCATTTCAGGGACCAAACAAAAGAGAACCTAAAGGGGAGGGGTGGGGAACATTGTTCTACTTACAGTGGAACCTTGATATTACAAAGTCCTCGGTATAACGAATGATTTTCTTTACCCCAGTAATAGTAAAATATATGAAAAATAACCTTGATATAATGAAACCTCGTTATAGCAAACAAATTTTGCCGGTCCCTTGGTCCTTAACCCTTTAAGTCCCAATAGTGACCAACATCAATTTTCTTGTAACAATTATATCCATATGTTGCCAAGAGGAATGGTTATGAGAGTTAATAAAATGATCACTAAAGAGAAAATGCTTTGATCTGTTATATCAAACTCTCTCAACTAATTCTTTAAGGAAATGTATGAAGATCAGTATGGAGAGTTTATATGTGGATATTGGGGATTAAAGGGTTAATTATATCAAGGTTCCACTGTATTGCTATAATAATGTTTAAGCATCCACAACAGTACCGAAAAAAATATTTTTCAATGGAAACTACACACCTGTGAAAAAAATTCGATTTGAACACAGCATGATTTTTTAAAATTTTTTGTAATTATGTTCCAATTTGTTGTTATTTTGGCACACCATTCAACCAAGTTCAAAACTATTTAGATGGCGAACAATCATCCTTCTCTCCTCAGAGCCACATGCAGCAAGCAAAAAAGTAAAATTATGCAAAACAATGGTGAAAATGGCGAGGGATTTAGGCAAAAGGAAAACCTGGGACATCACAACTTCTTAAATACTGCTTATTAAAATAAACCATGGAACTAGCATTAGGCATTTTTCATAACGAATTTAAGTTATCCTGTACTCAAAATATTTTCATAAAGCTTCTGTTCTTTGTTTTAGATTTTGCAGATGAATTCTGGTTTTTAAAATTTTTTGACTTACGGGAGTGAATTTTGCCTCTGGTCAATAACAATAAAAACAGTTGTCTCTTTGTGAAGAAGGCCTCTATAATAGTCTTGTGTAGCAGAGATAACCTAGACTTTTAATGACATTATTTGAATTCTTTTGGCTAGACAGATTTAGTTTTTCTGCAAGAACCAAATCTCTACTTCTTTTCAGTGAGAAGCTAGTAACTTGGTACAATTTCTGTAAGTCAATCATGTACTTTCCTTAAGATTTTCAGCAATTATTGCTGCAAACCTGAATGAAAGTAAACAATTTCAGTTGAGATATAAAGAAATTTTTTAAATTTGATTTTTAGCTTTACTGCAGTTCTATTGATGTTAATCTTAGAGGTTGCAAAAAAAAAACATTCAAGTAATCTGTTTTAAATTTCTGGGTTAATTGATGGCATGGATAATATCTTGTCTCTCAAGGCACATGCAAATATAAAATGGTCCAACAGAAATTTGTTGGAATGCAGAGAGTAGCTTAAAATCAGTGTGAAATGCACAAATATGTGAGAGAAAGAGGAAATTATGGGAAGAATCTATTTTGGGGAGTGTCTAAGGCCTATTTCAGAGGGGAGGGGGTGAATTTAAGTGGAATTATGGCATTTCTTTTGTATATGTAGGAAACTGTTTTTACAAAGAATATCTTTCTGATATCTATCTGATATATAAATTAAACCCTGAAATTTTCTTCAAGTCTAATTCTATTTCATTAGGTAAATGGCAAGGTGAAATCAGCAATGCATTTTTCATCTGATATATCGTGGAATAGGGCCAAAAACAGCAGTAGAATATTGCGCTCTTGATGTAGAAATCTGCTATATCTTTCATATTTTTCTATAAAATATCACCTTCAATTTGCCATCGTCAATGTCATCACCACAGAGGTAGTTGGATTTTGTAGTCAAAGTATTTCAAAAAATGATAAATCACTCTGCGTGGTTTTAATATTTACTTTTCTCCAAAGGGATGTGATCTTGTTACCATAAAATTAGGAAATCTTTATGTACCTACTGCCCTCAGTATTTCTACGTTTTCCTCACTTGGCCAATAAATGTTTACTGAAGATGCATGCTTTTCGAGTAAAATTCCAACCTCAAAACTTACACTAGTGTTTCTTTATATAATAAAATAAAGAAAAACGAAAAGGTTTTGGAAAAATCTAAAAGGTTGAAATTTTGAATATGCTTATTAGGGTTTGAATTTTTAATTAGCAAAATTTCTAAAATATTCAAAATTTCTTGGCTTCCAACGGGGCCTAAGAGACTTGAATTCATGTGTGTTTAAAAGCTGCCTTTATGAACTAAGACATATAAATCCAACTACCTGCCACCTTTTCACGTAGCTTCGAGATTTTTAGCTTCGTGGGAAAAAGCTGATGTTAGGTTTATGAACTGTAAACGGTTGTTAAAAGAGACCTTTGTCGGGGCCTTTGATGTGAAACGAACAGCAAAACGGTCTGTCATGAATTTTCTGATTTTGTTAAAGGCAATGGACGATGTTTTAGTCAAGTTAAAAATAACTCTAAACGGAGACGTAAGATATAACGTACAAATTTGCCTCACCTTGTTCAACAACTCCCTTTTCAGTGCAATGAAAATTAAGAGACCCAACTAGATGACCCGGTGATCCACTTCGAAGACCTGTCGTTCAGAAGTTGAAATCTCGGGTGACTTTTTGTGAGTGAGAGTTTGTAAGCCACGGCAAATAAAATTTGTGGCAACTCCTTGACTTCAAAGAAAAGCTGAGGCTTTTGATCGACCATTTTTCTACGTGTTCCTCTTATGACCAGCCCGCTTATTTCTTCTGGACGAAAATCAAAATTTTACCCATCTGTCTCTAAACGTATGGCCGGCTGCCAAAAGGTAGGGAAACAAATCTTTTACCGGCTATGGGAGGGGTGATCATGACATTGCTAAAGTCGATATTTTTTAAAAAAAGATCATTGCTGTAATTATAATTTCTTTAGTTTTTTGTTTTGTTCTGATATACGACTAAAACTGATAAAATTTAAACAGTGACCGAAAAGGACTTTCAAAAAAACACTCTTGAGGGCGATGAATCTCCAGTAGGGTAGGGAGGGGGTTTGTCTTTCGCCATCGCCATATGATTGGAAGCTCTCCAAACTTCACAGAAAAGAGCTCTTTCATGACTGTTTCATATCATAGTTGATATTGAATCAAAATTGCAGCTCTGACAATGTTATTTTTTCATATATATAGTGCAGAGCAGGAACAACAATGGGATCCTGTCACGACAAGAGCCCAGGACATTTCAAAAAAATTTCCGGGTAGAAAGCTTGTTTTCTACATGTATTTTCAATTAAAAGCTACGGAATTGAATGCTTTCTTAAAATGAGAAATGGGAGTAAAACTGGAATTCGTCTGACACCGGTTCACGTCAAGCTAATGTAAGGACTTACTATTACGGTAGAAAATAGAACACAGTGGGAGTGCTAGGGGCGGGCGGTACGCCAAAATTAAAACACATCTTCATCATCTGAAAACTAATTCTACAGTTTTTTTCTAGAAGTGTAGGCCGCCTTGGTGTAAAATAGTGGACCGCACATTGAAAAAACAGGGCACAGGACACACTTTCGGGAACACTAAAATGTTTTATATCCATGTACTCTCGGGTAGTTTCTGCACCTTAACAAGAGCCCTGGGAACGAGGCAAAAAACATCCCCAAGGTGTGACAGAAGGGGAAACAGACTTACCCTACCATAGAAGTAATAAAATTGGAAACGAACGGCCGTGAATGTGAAGGAAACCGTTGTCCGAAAGCAATTCCGCCTGACTGTTTCTCCGGGTGATTTTGGCCCAAGAACGTATCTTTCTTCCTTTTTAAAGTGCAGCGAGTAACGAAAATCAATGTAGGCGTTGCTTCTGTAAACGGCTGAGTCCTGTTCGTTTGCGAGATGAGGAATGGCTTTGTGTTGTTACATCTGACAGGACACTGATTGCAATTCGATGGAATCGAAAAAGCAATTTTCTTCATTCTTCAGATGAGTTAAGTGGATTCCAGTGCATATTTCCTAAGAACGGAAAAGCGAACTGTTAATTCGTGTGGAAGGTGGAATTCGATTGTTATCGCTATGAATTCAAAGAAGGCGAAACGAAGTAAGGAGGAATCGTTGTTGATTGCATATAACTCGGGTAATGATCGTTGTAACAGAAGCAGTGAATCGGACACAAATGTACCACCACTCGATTTGCCACCAACACGACTCAGACGCCCGAAATCAAGGTAACGATTACAACACAGTCTTTTTAATGATACAATGATACACGGATCATGGTTTGGTCTAAAAGGGTTTTCATGTAAAAATATTTTTCACACTCTTACAATGCAATGCAATGCAAGTGGTTAATGGAGGTAGCACATCTTCATCCCGGGGGGTGCTCCCTTAAGTTTACTACAGGAGTGTGCTCTGGACCAGACAAAATTAGATAAATTTGCACCCTTCTCCANAACGAAAATCAATGTAGGCGTTGCTTCTGTAAACGGCTGAGTCCTGTTCGTTTGCGAGATGAGGAATGGCTTTGTGTTGTTACATCTGACAGGACACTGATTGCAATTCGATGGAATCGAAAAAGCAATTTTCTTCATTCTTCAGATGAGTTAAGTGGATTCCAGTGCATATTTCCTAAGAACGGAAAAGCGAACTGTTAATTCGTGTGGAAGGTGGAATTCGATTGTTATCGCTATGAATTCAAAGAAGGCGAAACGAAGTAAGGAGGAATCGTTGTTGATTGCATATAACTCGGGTAATGATCGTTGTAACAGAAGCAGTGAATCGGACACAAATGTACCACCACTCGATTTGCCGCCAACACGACTCAGACGCCCGAAATCAAGGTAACGATTACAACACAGTCTTTTTAATGATACAATGATACACGGATCATGGTTTGGTCTAAAGGGTTTTCATGTAAAAATATTTTTCACACTCTTACAATGCAATGCAATGCAACTGGTTAATGGAGGTAGCACATCTTCATCCCGGGGGGTGCTCCCTTAAGTTTACTACAGGAGTGTGCTCTGGACCAGACAAAATTAGATAAATTTGCACCCTTCTCCAGACAATAATTGTGAACACAGAAATTCCATCTGATGAAAAAAAAAATGTATGTAACTCGTTTTATACAATGTGGTGAATGCCACGCACAATGTGATTGGTTGTTGCTTGTGATCTATTGGAATACAGACACATGGATGACACCATTACAAACTTGTCTTCTTTGTGTTGTTTAACATGATGCAAGGTTTTGAAAAAGTTTGCGATTAAGCAAGTGAATGTCTCAAAAAAAGTTTAACAAGAGCTGTGTACAAGTAAGAAAAACCAGAGAAACCGAGACAAAATGAACTCTTGACTACTTGAAGAAGCCGAAAGTGGAATAAATCTTCACAGCAGTTGCCATCACGTGTCATTAGTATGTGAGACTCACAGTTTTGAAAATGTTTCGGCAATAATTCTACTTTGACAGAGTGTAAAGAAAGTCATTTTTACAGCTTGCCATTTGGGCAATCTGAGGCTAGCATATACTTGCCCAAATGTCATTTCAACTAGCCCCAAAAACGTTTTGATGAGCAGAACTGATTTCACAGTTCTTCTGTAATTTGAATTCCTCAAAAAACTTCACTTGCCTGTCGGGCAAGTTAAGAAGGGAATTCACTAGCCCGATAGAAAAATCCACTAGCCCCCGGCTATCAGACAGTACTTTTTTTGCACGCTGTTTGAGCAAGTGAAGGCCTTAAAAAAACATTTGGGAGAAACTGTCTACATGTAAGATAGAGAAGAAAAGAAGAAGCATAGACAAAATGTAATTTTTGTGACTTGGAAAATGTCTCAACTGGCACAAATCTTCAAACAGTCAAGCGGTGCAAGGAAGATTGTTATTTTTTATTTTCTATTTATAGTACAAGGTGAAAAGATTTTATGTTGCTGTGCATCTGTTCAATAGTAGATTACAGAAGATGTCAAACTGTGGTGAGAGCACCAGTGACATGTGCCTGAAGCTCATATATGCCACTTTTTGTCCTAACCACATCTTGATGTCTTCTGTGATCTATCACTGAACAGAGATGCACGGCACCATGGAATTGTAAAATTGAAAGGAAGTGGCTTATGTAAGAAGAACTTACTTGGCCAGCTTTGTCTGTGGCTAGCTCAGTTATGAAACAACAGGAGGAGCATAGTTTTACACCTAAGCTTGCTTGAGAATTCAGGGATCATAGGAAAAAAATCAACTCTTTTCCAGAGTCAAACTGAAGTACATACAGTATACCCCTCTTCTAGCCTGCGCACAGGCTCCCAAGTGGAGCTGAGCAAAATGAAAATTGCCGAGTGAAGCTACCCATTGCAAGTGTGGCTTGGGGAGCCTGTTTGCAGACTACTCCTCTTCCAGAAATAAAGGGTGATTTTTATACCCTGTTCCACAGTCAGAAAAGCAAAACCACACCACATTGAGCAGCACACGCCAGGATAACCCGTTCATATGCCATGGGGACACATGTTGTGTGTCTTCAGAGGGAGACCTGAATAACTTTTTTTTTCCATTTGATTCTTGTTCTTGTTGAATTATCATTAAGCAATTAATGTTATTGTTATTCTACATTAGAAAACTTCAAGTAACTCCTCAGTCAAAAGCTTGCTGCTCACTGTGGAATGCTCTTCAAGTGATTTTTGTTCTCTTCACCCTTGCTACAATGTTTTCCATGATGTGGTTTACATTCATATTGAAAACTTCGCTTGAAACCATGAAGAAAAGAGTTACTTCATGTAAGTACAGGTTACTATGCTGTATTATTATTATTAATTGGTGCTCAAAGTAATATGTTTCAAAGTTTGAGTGAAACTGCTCAGTTGAAACCATTATTGACATTTTCAGAAATTTTTAGTGTTTAGGGAATGGTTAACTGATTAACTTATCAAAAAAGATTGTGTTGGTTCGACAACCATAGACGCAAAAGGTGGCCTGATGGAAGTTGAAACTGGAAATAAATAAAAAAAAACCATGCTCTGTAGTAAAACCTGAAGAAACTTACATCGATTTCTAGACTTTGCTAACACTTGTATCTTATCAAAAACTTGTCCCGCACTAAGCTGAGATTAGGCTCCACTTTCATTTTCCTGGGTAAATAGATTCCAGGTTGGCAAGGCAAATCGACAAGTCTCCCTTTTAGTACAGTTGCGAATCGAATGTAATAATAATTGTTGCATCACTTGTGTGTGCATTCATGCAATTCCCGTGACATCACACTGACCTTAAACTAAACACCAGGGCCTTCGTGGCCACATACCATGCATATTAGTCGGAAGAACACGGGAATTTCAAGAATGTGGACAGATCGAGAAAAATGTCACTATACAGTTAATAAAGTGCTACTGACCAAGTCAAGATTAGGCTGCATGCTCCTCTTGTCACCTACAATTACATGTAACTCATACAGTCCATTTGCAAACCAACTGTGTAAGCTCAGGTTTTAAGGGCCACTGTACTGTTGAACAATTAAAATATGTCTGCAGTCCTTGCTGCACTAACTTGATTGTGTTGTATAAAATATATAAAAGAAACAGGAAAACAAACAATACAAGGCTGACAAAAAAATTTTTATAAAAAACCTGCTACGAATTTAATCCAACCAGTAGTACCGTAGATTGAGACTTGGGTCTCTGTTCCTCAATTTTAAAAAAGAGCAAGACAGTATAACTGTTTTAGCACTTTTTAAAACTGTAAAATTTTTTTCGAGATTTAAAGTTAACATCTTAAGTTAAAAATAACGTCTTTATTAATACAGAAGAGATTTTATGGACACTTGTTACCAACTTACGACAACAATTTAGTTAGAAATAAGGTGATGGCATTTTAACATAATGAATGTGTGATTACAACAACTTCACTGAAATATCAAAAAGTACACAAGACAGCTTGTTTATTTGTTCTAGAACTGCTATTAATTTCTTCAGCTGATTTCTTGGGTTATGTCCAATTTCACTTCTCTTTTACATTTCCTGTGTGCTTATGATTTTAATTTAATCTGCTTTGATACTTATTGTCCCAGATGTCATTAGAAGCAAGATTTTTTTTCATATCGGTCATAAGATTAAAATTATATCAACGCTGTTCCATTTTTGCATGAAGTATCGTTATTTTACTGTCTTAAAATATTCGGATGTTCGTGAAAGAGTTGAAACGCTCATCGCTACGTCATTGAAACTTCGTGTTGTGGTACCCAGTCCCCTCTTAATCTTAGTGATTTATGAATCCTCTGTTTAGTGGATTTACATTCATTCAGCATGTTATCCTTACGAATATAACAAATTCAACAACTGTATCTTCTGAAACAAATATAATCAATTAGCTCTATATAAAGACTATGGATATTGTCAGATTTTGTCATGGGAAAGCATAAAACCAAAATGAAGCTTTCTTCAAGAAAAAATGGCACGCTCATCTCTGACGACGAATCGGACTCCGACCTGCAGGAACTTCCTCTGCCAAAGAAGAGAATTATAAAACCTGGCAAGTCCACGTTTATTGCAAGGTTAGGTACTTTGGCGCTGACAAAATCCCTTGTTTAAAGAGCGTAGAAAGAGCTTGTGCTTGTATTTTTCTCTGGTATTTTTACTTTGCTTTGTAAATTTTATGAATTCACGAAAAATCACTTTCGAACGTTTCAGAAGGCGATGTGGTTGCTGTCGTGTGTGCGCTTCTGTGTTCCTGTCTGTACTTCTTATAGCTTCGGTTTTATGTGTAGTCGTTTTGGGGTGGTTCAGTCTAAGACTGAAGCGTGATTTGGACTTCGTGAGGAAACGCTTGAGCAAAGGTGAGTGTGGTGGCGAGGAGTTTCTTGTATCACTCTTTTGGGATCACATTTCAATGGCTTGATTTCGAGTCTGTGCACTGTATGAATTTGCATTTTCATTGCTTTTTAATGCTGGAAATATGTTATACCGGATGCCCAGACTGTTACATGTAACTCTTTTCTCTGAT